GACGCGAGCGAGCTGCGCGACACCCCTTGCGATAGAATTGCATACGAAGCGCCGTGCGCAAGGATCAGCGAGTGGTCTAGCGCGTTGTAGTGGCTCGCGACGGCAAAGGATTGTTGGGTCGTTGGCAGGACACAGGAACGCGCGCGCTGGACGCGGGTGGCGTCGGGGCCTCGGGCGTCGTAGAGCGCACTCGTCGACTTGCCGCGGCCCCGCTGCTGCAATGCAGTTGTGGTCTTGCGCCGCGAGGACGGCGCTGTCATGAGAGGCACAGCCGACAGTTCATCGGCAAAGGTCATTTCAGAAAATGGTTTGAAAGACGTGAAAAGACAGGAAGGGTTCGAACGCGACATCCGCTGCGCTGGCTCGCGACCGTCGATCGCATGTGCGATCGGCGAAGATGCCACAGCGAAGAAGGTGTCGATCCAAGTGCATCTGCAGAATTCGAAGCGCGCCGAACGTGGCGCCAAAATGATCGCAGCCTGTCACGTCGTGTACCACCAAGGGGCAATCACTTCTTATGTAATTCCTATTCTATCGACTGTAGGAGCTACATACTGTTCTAGTACATTTGATTGGATTGGCGTCGAGGACTATGGAGGTTGTATAAATTGGTGCTGCGATTCGGACGGAAGACGGTCACGCCATGGTTCAAGAGCGCCGTGGTCTTGATGCTTTTGTACTGCCTTGCGGTCATCACGAACATGACTTCGACAGTGGTGTTGACAAGATGGGCGATCGACTGGATGAGCGTGTGAAGGCAACCGAAGTCGTCGCCGATGTCGCCGATGTCCAAGCTCGTGAGTGCCGACGACCGTGGTGAGCTCTGGAGCACCGACGCAATTACATTGGCTCGTTCAAGTTTGCAGTGCACCAGATTGACAGTGGTGACGCCCGTCGTGTGGATCCAGTGGCGCAACGTTGTCGCGAGCGTCGGTAGCCGATGATCTAGGATCGCAATACCAACGCACTTGACGCGTCGCAGCTGCTGCAAGCCCAAGGTCCACTGAAAGATCGCATCAAACGCCTTGTCCGAAAAGTCGACATTTTGGAGGGTCAGCGCGCGCAGACGGGGTGTCGCGCCAGTCAACGTGGGAGGAACGTCGTCAAGTTGACCATAGATGAGCGAGAGCTCCTGGAGGTTGGGCATCGCCGGAAGCAAAGGCAGGACCCAGCTGAGGTCCGCCATGTGGCCGACTTGGAGCTGCGTGAGCCTGGTGGCGTCGAGACGCGCCACGAGTTGCATCGCGTTATCGACCGACGAGCCTGTGATTTTGAACCCCGTCAAGTGCGGCAGCGGCTCGGTACGCGCGAGGAGAGCCTCAACGAGCTCCCCGGCCCCGTTGCTCTCGAGGGTTGCAATCAACGTAGAAGATACAAGCACGTCGGCGACGGCTGCGGCATCGCCCTTCGTCAGCGCGCAGTTGAACGTCACGTGCTTGTGGCTTCTGCCATTGCCGAGCCATTGCTGTAAGGCCGTCGCGAGGTTCGCGTTGATGACGGTCTCGTCGTGACTGTCGACTTGCGAGTCTTCGGACACGTCGTCGCGATGGCGGCAGAAGGTTGTCGAGCCGTCGTCAAACTCATTGCTGTCGTCTTCTGACTCTTCGAAGTCCTCCGATTCGGATTCGGACTCTTCCGAGTCTTCCGAGTCTTCCGAGCCTTCCGAGTCTTCCGAGCCTTCCGAGTCTTCCGAGTCTTTTGAGTCTTCTGAGCCTTCCGAATCGTCGTCAAGTTCGTCGCGGACGAAGGTGAGATGGCGGAGGCGCGGCGGGAGCGACGGCGCCAGATGGACAAAGGCGTCGACGTATACCTGTACGCTCTCAAGTTGGTCATAGTGCTTGACATGCCTTTTGAAGTCGCCGACCATGCTGCGATCGATGACCTTGCCGAGGTGCGTGAAGTGGGCGAGCCATTGGAGCGCGCCGATGGTGGACTGATGCTTCTGGAACCTGACGTCGTCATAGATGAAGATTGCTGGTAGCGCAGTGACGGCGGTGACGGCGAGCTCCAATGTCTTCGCGGTGAGCAAGTCGGGAATGATTTCCGGCCAGTGCTCCACGAAGGTCCACGACTGGGTCAAGAGCGTCATGAGCGCCGTCAGTGGCGCATCAAGCGAGGACGCTGGAAGAGCGCGCAGAAAGGCGGTGACGTCGTGATGCGACTCCAAGCACTGGACGACGGAGAGGCGGACATGGTCGAGGGCCATGGCCGGCGTCGGCGCCGCGTGAGCTCGCTTGGTTGCCATTGTTTGAGTGGCATTCGTATTTTAGTGTTTACACTATTTGCATCTATAGGACATCAGAGAGTGAAATACGATGTATGCGTGATGATGTTGGCTGTCCTTGGCTCAGACGCAGTGGCTCAGACAGCACGCGTGTCTACTAAGCTCGGTACATGCGCTCGAGGCTTGCATTCACAACACAAAGCTCCTGCGGTGGACATGTTGGGGCGCTCAGACTATTTCCGTTCTAACCTTTGGCGACCCGTGATTGGTGCGCTACCGAGTATGTTTGTCGCGTTTGGCCAATCAGATGACGCGAAGATCGTCGAGCTACACCAAGGGCAAAACGATTTCTTATTCGCACTTCATAGGTGCTTATATCAGTGCTTATGACGTGGACGGCTTCGTGAAGCCATGACGAGCCGACGTCACTGGACCCGAATGCACAAGACGGCCCAAACGCTTGGGTTGAAAAAGATAAGGACCGCCACACTCCGATCCTGAACTTCGCGTTTCGGTATACTAGTATCATTCCACCCCTCAACGTCGAGCCCTCGTGGCCGTCCATTCGCAGTTGCTACAGCGAAGCAGCTAGATAGCGCAGACTTTGATGAGCGCCTCTTTCACCAGGTGATGGAGAACGGCCCCGCCAAGTACAAGCTGCCCATGGCGCATACTATTCGAGTTCATACCCTCAAGCTGTTGCGATGTGCCATCCAAACCAACCGGCTCGTCGGCTTGGATACTGTCAAAAACCGGTTGGATTATTGTTGCGGGCTATGGGTTTGGTGCATGGGCCTGTTCCACGGACCGCTCGCCTGTTGAGTGCAGGTCCGAGTCCGTGCGAGTGATGGTTGATGACCCACCGCCAAGACCGCAAGGTTCATTGCACAGTTCATTGATCCTCACATGTGAACGCACCAGCATGGACGCGAGCATGCGGGTGTTGACAACGGCCGACGTGTGGCGACACATCAAGAGCTTCCAGAACGGTGTGCCGCTGGAGGTGCACGAGGTCCATCGGCTCTGCGACGCTGTTCGGTTCCACTACGTCTCCATCGAGTCCGCGGGTTTGAGACAGGCGACGTTGACGAAGCTGCCCGCACGCTTCGCGTCGCTTCCGTTTTTCGCTCGGTTTGCGACCACGAAGACGGTGTCTGCACGCGATCTCTTCCTCACCTTTCCGCACCAAGAAGACTGGCTATCGTTCCACCTCGTGATCCTCGAGGGCGACTGGCGCCTCATTGCGCAGTTCATCGACTTGGATTCTGCACGCGTCACGGCCGAGAGCTTTACGCTGGCCGTGGCGGCCGGTCATCTCGACGTTGCCCAGAAGCTTATGTCGATCGATCCTTCCGTCGCTCGTCTGTCCCCCTACAGATGGATTGGGACTCGGACTCGTCCATCTACGTGGCCGCCGCCAAC